AGGGTCAGCAACAGATCGTTTTATTACGGAAATCAGCACGTATTTATATATATTTCATGTACATTATTGTAGTTTATTCAAGCAGACAAACACAGCCTTCTGATTGGTTGTTTCTGGTTTCCCGGAGAGTTAAGCCATCTATCTCAAATCTTATTTGCCCACGTTAAGTCTGCTGTGATTGGTTGTTGAATCAGCCTTGTTCATATTTTCTCACGGCCAACATTAGTGACCTAGACATTGACGTAAATTAGTGTCTACCAGTTGGCTAGCAGGCTGCTCTCACCACAGTAGTAGTAGTAGTAATAATAGTGGTATTAGACTAAGTGGTGCTCGGGAGGCATCAGACAGGCTATAGACCGGAAAGAGGGTGTACTGATTGCTCATATCTTCACCCTTCGACACAGATTCTAGAACATAGGTATACTCACCGTTGGCGTCCAAGAATCGTTATATTTCTTGATCTAGAGGCGACATTCGATTCTGTCGACCGATAGGTACTCCTACGATGTTTAGCTGTGAAGGGAATACCGAGAAAATACATTGCACTAATCAAGGAACTCACTCTACTCGAACTCATGCAGTCAGCCAGGTGAGGGTTTATGGCGAGTTGTCATCTGAAGTGGTGACGACTAGTGGTGTCCATCAGGGATGCCCACTATCCCCATTTCTATTCACTTTCATCATAGATGTACTAATGGACTTAACCCTAACTCATTTCAGAGACTCAGGGGATTGATTTGCTACTATCAGAGAATAATCTCGTTGACCTAGAATATGCAAATGATATAGTCCTAGGCGACGACGCTGACAAAATGCAGAGTCTTCTGAACACCTTGAGCTGCAATCTACGAATATTTGTCATGCGATTCGCTCCCTCCAAACGCAAGATGATGTTACAGGACTGGAATACACTGACTCCTAGTTTAGAAATAGGGAGTGAAGTGGTAGAGCACGTTGACCGCTTCACTTGTTTGGGAAGTACCATCAACTGTCTGACGAAATCTCAGCTGGGTACAGATACAGAGGGCTAGTTTCGCATATGCCAGTTTACGCCATCTCTGGCCTAGTAGACATGATATCCGGCTGACTATCGACCAAAGGGCGAGTGTACAGCTCAGCTACGTGGGAAGGTGTAGACTTCCTCACTGGTTGGAGTCGTCGGGACGGTAAGAGCCAATGAAGGCTGGAAACAAAAATCCTTGTCAGTGGCTGGCTAGTGCATATGTATCCACTCACTCCTTGTGACTTATGATTTCCAATGAAACTATGTTGTTCTTCGTTATTACTATTCCTTTGTCACACACCTCTGTCTACTGTCTCTATTATGCACTTCTTCTACTATCTTCTCTTCTTTTGTGTGCTACATGAAGGGAGTTTGGCGACTTGAACTGGTGCACATCGGTGCAAAGTTCTATGTCGAAAACATACAGGCAGACACCTACACATATTGTAGAGCTTCTGTGTGTCCGGTGCTAATCCTACGGTGAGTAATACTGACATTAGGCGTCGAGTGTTAGTTATGCTGGGATGGAAAGCTTGTGAAGCCATATCGATTGAGATGGTTAGCATATATTTCCCGATACGAATTTTAAACAAGCAATGGATGCTAATAACCTCGCCTAGATTATTAGCTCGCTAGTTTTCTAGCCGGTCCCAAGCCCGGATAAAGAGGGAGAGTTGGGGTGTGGTGCTAGCAGCTCCATCCCCAAAACTCAACCAAATCGCTACAAAAACTTCAATGCACCAATATATTAAAAATTCTAAAAATATAAACAGTAACCTTATTTTTCGCTGGGATCGGGGAAGTGAAATGACGCAGGCTGGTGAAAGCCTTCGTGAAGCCAGTCAGTCGATGTGTCTTCTTCTGATGAAAGCAAAAGTAAGGATGGGTACGTGGAATGCTTGTACAAGGTACGAAACTGGAAAGGCTGCCCAGGTAGCCGCTGAAATGAGAAGGTACAGAATAAAAGTGCTGGGAATCTTCGGAAGCAGAGGGAACGGAACTGGAAGGTGCCAACTACCAAAGGAGAGACAATAATCTATTCCGGCCACTTAGAGGACAATAACGAATACACCGAGGGAGTAGCCGTCATGATGTCACCAACAATAGTCAAAGCTCTCATGTAGTGGGAACCAATCTCCTCCAGGATAATAACAGCCAGGTTCAACTCAAAAGGAAGGACAGTTACAGTCATCCAATGCTATGCGCCTACAAACGTCTCAGAACAAGACGAGAAGCCACGAATATCCTGGACCGACAGACGTGAAAAACCTAGAAGACCTCGATTTCGCTCGTGGATGATTTATGCTTGATGTCATACAAAATCGAAGACTTACAAGCGAAAAACGAAAAAACTGGTCGAAGAAACAGTCGGCGAAGACAGGACTCCGAGTGAACAAAGACAAGACGGAGGTAATGAAAATAACCAACCAACCAACCAACAACAACAACGAAAAAAGCAGAAACATCCAGCGCGAATCACCATCAACAGGAGGGACTTGAAAGAGGTTACTTCATTCACTCACTTATCTAGGGGGGAGGGAGCATTGTCTCAACTACAGAAAGTCAGAACCGATGACGGATGACGATGTCAAATCGAGCGAGAATCGGGCGGTGGGCAAGAAACACACTCACTCATCAACCTGAAACAACCAATCTGGAAACCAATCTTCGTCACTCAGCCAGCATCAACAACAACAAAATTCGGTCTCCAGTCTCTGAACCCTTCTTGTAGCCTAGGACCAGATTGCTTGCCTAGCGTTTTTCTAAACAATGTGCAGATATTCTGTTATCCCTTCGCTGACATATTTAATGAATCTTTTTCCAGATATGTCGTGCCAGCCGTTTGGAAGGACATTGAAATTTTACCTATACCTTGGTCATCTACTGGAACATGTATTAAATTTAGACCTATTGCTATTACTTCTCCTTTTCTAAAAACTATGGAAAAGTTACCCTTACTTAATCTCCAACCTTCACTTATAGCCTTTAATTATCCCAAACAATTCGCCTATAAACACAGTAAAAGTAATTCAGATGCAGTTGCAGTCTTGCATCATAACATTTTGTCTCCAGTTTAGACAAAGGAGTTAAATTTGTTCACTGCACCTTCCTTCCTACATTACACATCTGCTTTCAACTCAGTAACTGGGAATATTTTGTTAATCAAACTTGGTGAAACTGAAATTGAGTGTTGATTGGGTAGCCGAATGGCTGCATTCTTATTTCTCAGGAAGAAAGCAGTAGACTGTGTACCACATTCAGACATAGTGTTTATGAGCTAGGTACGCTAAACAAAGTAATACAAATGTATTTATTGTGAAGTTGGTCTGCAAGTAATCTTGTTGAGAGAATAACACTATCCTTTATCGGTAGCATTATCGTAACTCACTTCAACACTATTATTATTGTTATTGTAACTATTACTATTGATATTGCTCTGTTTGCAATTCTTGTTATATTCTCAAATGTCTAATTGTTTATCTAAGTGATCCAATTGAGGCGTGATGCAATTTATCCTAATTTTAATCTCTCATACTCCCTTCCTCCCCTTATCTATTTGAGCATGACCTGGAAAACATTCGCACCTGTCTCCCTGCTTGCCTAATTCAGTGTGGTTTGTTTGCTTATATCTCCCAATGTAATTTCAAAAGTATATATATATATATATATATATATATATATCCGTGCATGTAGAATACTGAGCAGCTGATGAGTTCTACCGAAATGTGATGAATTCATTAAATCCTGCTTTATTAACATCTATTATTATTACTATTATTGCTCCCTTGGGTTCCTGGTGAAACATAGGGCTTCAACTGCACGTCTCCACTTGCTTCTGTATTCTGCTGATGTAGTTTTCACCTGCATCCATGTTAGTACATACTGTTTAAACTCCTCCAACTGACACGATCTCCTCCATGTCACCCTTGCACTGACGAACCACTCGCCGCTTGCTTCCCTTTTCGGTTCCACTCGAGGAAGGGCCTGACGTGAGCGCGATGTCACCCAACGGCGGCCTCCTCAGCGAGCGAGTGTCCAATCCATCTCAATCCCCTTTCTCCTGCATATTTGCTGTTGTTTGGCGATTGGTTCTTGTTTTGTCTGTTTGTTTGTTCCCATAGTTTGGTGCTTGTTGGTGATTCTTTCCGGCCCGGCCCGGCCTGGCCCGACCCTGCCATCTGATCTTCAGTATAGATCCAGCGAAGACAGTTAGTTGTCGATGAAGGTAACGTCTGCAATAGGCTGTTGGAAATATTCTTTGTGACCCACCCGCCAAATTTCTGACCCGTTCAATGGAGAAGAGCTGACTGACTTGATGTGTTTGTATTGAAAATCCGACGTAATTTTGTTGTTGTTGATGCTGGCTGAGTGACGAAGATTGGTTTCCAGATTGGTTGTTTCAGGTTGATGAGTGAGTGTGTTTCTTGCCCACCGCCCGATTCTCGCTCGATTTGACATCGTCATCCGTCATCGGTTCTGACTTTCTGTAGTTGAGACAATGCTCCCTCCCCCCTAGATAAGTGAGTGAATGAAGTAACCTCTTTCAAGTCCCTCCTGTTGATGGTGATTCGCGCTGGATGTTTCTGCTTTTTTCGTTGTTGTTGTTGGTTGGTTGGTTGGTTATTTTCATTACCTCCGTCTTGTCTTTGTTCACTCGGAGTCCTGTCTTCGCCGACTGTTTCTTCGACCAGTTTTTTCGATTTTCGCTTGTAAGTCATCGATTTTGTATGACATCAAGCATAAATCATCCACGCGCGAAATCGAGGTCTTCTAGGTTTTTCACGTCTGTCGGCCCAGGATATCCCTCCCTTTCTTTTCGTTTCCCACTGTCTCTATTCCTAGTTGTTGTTTTTTGTCGTTAAACGATTTACTCTGCCGTACTGCGAATGAGTCCCAAATTATTACTATTATTAATATTATTATTATTGTTGGTTTCACTGACCCTGATAACTCTACTTTGAAATTTTTTTTGTCTTTTTTCCCCTTTTCCTTCTAGTTCTTCTGGTATCTGGGGAATGTTTTCAGTCAGAATGAAAATCTCAAGTCAAATTCTATGTAGATGGATTACAAGACTTATAAGTTATTGCAACAATAATAATAGTAATGTTCCACTAAGCAAAAGAATGAACTCTCTAGCTGTCTGTTAATCCAACTTTATTCGCTTGTTCAACTTTAGAATATCACAGCTAACGCCTATTTGTATCAGCTATACATATAGATATATAAAGAAAATTACTCAACTTTATTTCCTATTTTGAAATTTTCATCGTATTTAACGATCATCATCATCATCATCATCGCCGTCATCATCATGAGCAGTGGCAACAGTGGCAGAAAAGCTCCTGAGCGTATATATGAGAAAACTAATCCTGTATCTGTCAATTACTATTATATTATTACTATTATTATTATTGCTAATTTTTCCATTGTGATTGCTCTTCACTTGTGTTTTGCTTTTTTTTTTTTTTAAACTTTTCTCACAAATACTAACTACATCTCATGTATTTTTATCTAGTTTATTTTTTGTCCCCAACTTTGTTTTTTTTATTTTTTATTTTTTTTTGTTTAACTGTGATTTATGCTTTCGTGATACCTGTCCATTGATTTATATATTCAAAGGAAATGAATAGTTGTCACTTATATTACTGGAGAGTTTTTAAAACTTTCATGGAGAAGATTATTGTTTTTTAGTAATTATCCTTATTGTTATTATTATTATGAATGTGTTTAAATAATTTTTCTCATAACTTTACGATTGATAGTCTTTTGAAGCTGACGGCATCAGTTGGATAGATAGAAACCATTGAAACATCAGCAAGGAGGAGGAGGAGGAGGAGGAGGAGTATTGGTGGACAGGTGTTGTTTCAGTTGTCCTAGTTTGGGACTCCGCCTCAACAGTCCCCCACCTCCCCCCACACACACACATATATATATATATATATATATATATATATACCCAAGATCTTCTGATTGCAAGGCTAGCTCGTAGACCATTAAGCCAGACACTGGGAGCTGATCTAATGGTCAATGGCCCATGATTTCTGACTTCTCTCTCATGCAATGATTCCCTCTTTAAAAATTTGAATGTAGCAAGAAGAAACATTGGCGCGCAGAATAATCTGGATCCATTTTATTTCGTTGCTTCTCATAAGCAGTTGCATACAACTTGAATTTTTTTTTGTAATAAAAATAAAAAGTGTACAATTTTAACAAACCTTTGTCCATTAGCAAGCATATTTTCAAAGCGTCATCGTGAAATATAAGGCGTTGCGACTAACAAGGTGTCTAAAGTGCTACGACAAATATATATATATATCTTGTTAGAGATAAGTTTTTTGAAAAAAAAAAAATTAACAGTTGTGTTGTTCGGGTGGTAACGAAAGACAATCAGTAGTGGTTACGTAATTAGATAAGAGAAGATCGAAATTTCGGTACACATGAGGTCAGATGAGAGAGAAGTTGATGATGTAATACAGTGACCAGAACTCAGAAGATCAAAAAGAGTTGTCACTTAAGAGAGTCAAGCGAAAAATAAAGGGAGACGGATGGGGGTGAAAAGATAAGTTAACCAAACTAGAAAACAAAGAGTTACTAAGAGGTGAGTCACCAGGGTAATTGAAGTCTAACAACGGATTCCTTTTGGACAAATAAATCAGGCTTCAACCGTTTTATTGTTATAGCTTCAGCAAACCTGAGAAGACTTGAGGTACTACTTTGCCTGTTAATTGTTTTGAATGATTCCCGTTCATCTACTCAGTGTCCTGTGTCAATCAGGTGTTTGGCGATTGAAGAGCTTAAACAATTCGGTCCCTTTAACCGGAGGCTCGCTTCTTGGTACATGTTCGCAGAATCTGACGTAGGCCCTCCTCTCTGTTCTTCCAATGTAACTGCTCCCGCAGAAATATGTGAATTGCTATACACAGTTGGAGGTAACATGTGAGGGGTACTTGTTAAACTTTGACTGCATCAGTGAGGAGGTTGTTCGGGATAGAGGGACTAATAACGCTGCAGGATACGTCCCAGACAGGGCTGCTCTTAATCTTTTATTTACCATTCTCATAATGTCGTCGCCCTTGTAGTCGAGTTTGATGAAAATTGGCTTCTTACTGGCTGTAGCTGTGTCAAACTTCTTGAGAGTTCATTCTTGCCATATTTGTTAATGAAACATTGTATGTAACCATTTTCTTTCAAGCATTTTTTTCAAGAAACATTAGTTCGCTGTCTAGTTTGTTTGGTGAACATATTCTCTTTGCTCTAGAGAAAGGGGTTTCACCAGCGTTCGTTTGTATCTCACTGGACAGAAGCTGTTGAAATTCAAGTAAAGACCACTCCATGTGTCTTTACGATATACAGATCATTCGAGTGTCCCGTCTTATTTCTCGTGACACTAGACACCCTGCAAATCACAACGCCTTATTTTACTATGACGCTCTGACAATATGCTTGCTAATGGACAAAGGTTTGTTAAAATTGTACACTTTTTATTTTTATTACAAAAAAAATTCAGGTTGTACGCAGCTGCTTATGAGAAGCAACGAAATAAAATGGATCCAGGTTATTCTGCGCGCCAATGTTCTTTCCTTGTTCAAATTCTGACTTCTGCTCATTTATGACATGGTGGGACTAAAACACTAGAGAATGTCATTGGTGGTGGCGAGTATTTGTTCTCACACCCCTGACCTTTGTATACAGCCCACCCCCGCCATCGCACTGGTCACGATTTCCCACTAGAACTCAGGTAAACTACTCACCTGAATAAAGGGTCAGTCAGTCAGTCACTAGTGAGCGGCGTCAGATTGATATTGCGTGGTTTGCAGGGATTTGATTAGTTTCAAGATTACATCATGAAGTGACAACATCGCTTGGTTAGAGAATCGTTGGAGAAAACCACCTGCTGGACACTGTTTCCTCCTATTTTTTACTTATCGATGTATTACGTCTTTTACCTAGGACGATTAAAAATAGCATTTTGGATTTATGTTGAGTATGTCGCTATGGTTCACCTACTCTTTAAAACACGGTATATATAAATTTTTTTGATCAAACATTTAAAAAGGAGTATTTCAAAAATAAATATAAAGAAAACAACAAAGAGAAACACAAAATAGCAAAAAAATGCGAAAAAATATCAAGACGTAAAATGGACAATAAACAACATAACAAATAATATCTCAGTATTGGTTAGGGGAAGCTATGATATGTTTATGCGTGTGGAACAGTAACAGCTATAGTCACACCAGAAGTTATGAAATGATATTTAAAAATGTTTATGGTCAAGATGATCAGTTAACTTGATTGAACTACACTAAACAATCATAAAATAAACATTTCAGGGTTATTTTATTGTCAGCTCTAATGCGGTGTTTGTAGTGGTAGTGTGAGTAATCCTGCATAATACAAAATGTTTAAGATTGTGATAACGGCGTTCACAACCAAGATTGTCAGTTTAAATATTGCCGAACAAAAAAAAACAATCACAAAACTAATATTACATGAAGGTTATCGACAGGATAATTTTGTAATACTCATAGTGATAATATAGTTGGAACCAGTAGATACACAAAAGAAGGAATAGAATAAAGTACATACAAGTAAGCCAATGTTAATAATTTTAGGTAGCTAAGTATGTTTAAGAAGGTTTTTCACTATAGAGTACAAATAAGAGAGAAATAAAAGAGCCAAAATTATGTTATTAACAACAAATGAAGTCATAGATTTCACGCTTAACATTGTCTCTGTCAGTTAGAAACACGGGCCAAATATGGTATCGTTGAGTTCCTATACTTGGTTGTACGAGCATATATTACTTTGTATTGATTTCTGGTTCTACCTGATGAGATACAAGGAGAGTATGGTCTTAGACCATTTTTCAAATGCCTTTCTACTAATGTAGTGACGAACTGACTGAGTTTTACACCATTAGTCCTACTAATGGTGTCCTTCAACATTCTTCTCAGGATGGTGTAGTCCTTTTTCAGTATCCCAGGAAAGACTGATGGGGAGCAGTGAAGTAGGATAGGTAAGATACGAGAGTTGACAAATTGTTAAAGTAGAGGTTAGGTGATTCCAGAAAGTCTAAGTTTCTTAATGTAGTAGGCCAGACGGAACACTTTCTTAGAAATCGTTAGGGATATGGGATGACCAAGTTAGAAAATCAAAAGAAGTCAGCGAAGAGACTTTTCAAAAACGAATTTATTATGAAGCTCTACGATATATATATATATATATATATATGATTTTCAAGAAATTATATCCGGTGAAGGAATTCAATCATATTTATTTTTAAGTAAAAACACATTTTTTTTGTTCAGCGAAAAAATTTCTTTTCAACGACTTCATTTTCAAGCTGTACAGTCGTATTTATATTACAGAAAAAGGTTATTAAGTGGCACCAGATAATTGCTCAGTCAATATACATATATATGTGATAAGAATAACGATAATTAAAATGTTATAACGCGTAGAGTTGAAGTGGATGAATTACAGAATTATTAAAGATTGTTTTATAAGTGAATTGATACCAAAATGTCAAGCGCTGTCTAAAAATTTTAAAAACTAGGAGTACGATTACGATAAGAATAAAGATGTGAAGTGAAGCGGAATGAATTCAAGTGGTAAAATAAAATAGAAACTAGAAAGAACATTAGTTACTATGACCAAGGTAAGGAAAGGGGTTTGACAAAACGTTTTTGAGCACATAATTTAGGTTCCTGTTCATGTATAGCTAAAGCTTCGGTCATGCATAAGTGAAGAAAGCGTAAACTTTTGGATCGATTCGATTTTGCCATGTAGATAACGTTGAAAGATGAATCACATGGAGCTGAATGACCAGACTCTAACAGGTGATCACAGATAGACGACTTCGTAGTTCGACGTTCGTCTTTCATTAACCAAACTGGATAGTGTTCAGCTACGCTTACAACGTCCAATATAATCAGCTCCACAGGAGCAGGTAAAAGAGTAAATGCACATAGATGTGGACGTAAGCGGTAATCTATCCTTGACACATTGTCTAATCATATTTCGTCTGGTAAAAACTAGTTGCAAGTCAGCTGCAGGAAAAGTGCGTCTAATACATTTAGATAAACGATTTTTAGTGAATTCAGAAATGGTGTCACCTTTGAATGCAAAACTCATAAACACTTTTTTTTCTTTGGCACTGCGATTTGTCTAAGGGCGAATTCTTTCTTGATGTTACTTTCAATGAACCTTGTAGGATAACCATTGTTAAGGAGATCTGATCGAAGGCTATCTAGTTCACTACCGATTGTCTCTGCAGAGCAGATTTTACGAATTCTGGAGCATACGGAATGAATAAGATTCCTCTTTCTCCCTAAAGATACTCAACTGTTGAAGTTATTGTACTGCCCAGTGAATGTTGGCTTTCGGTAAATCGACGTCAAGGCAGTGAAACGAGGAGTTCGACTGTTCTTCGACCATGAAAAGCAAAGATGGATGAGAACCATTAAATATTCCAAGAAGTTTGGCAATAGAAGAGTTTTCCTAACAGACAATGAAGGTATCATCTATGTATCTTTTATACATAAACAAACTCTCAATGGTTTCCTTTAGTGGGCTGTTCTCTAAGCTTGCCATGAAGACATCTGCTAAGAGCGGTCCTAAGGGAGACCCCATGTCGATTAAAATGTTTGTGATTATAATCATAGTTCAATTTCAAGTGTCAAAACAGTTAATATCATGCATAGAATAATTCATACGATGTATGGGGCTTGGAAGGAGTGTGAAATTATAGGATTAGTAGGAGAAATCGAATAAAAATAAAGGTGTTACATAACATCGTGTGAAACATGATCACATGGAATTTAACGTTGCAAAACAAAATTGATTTAGAACGACAAGTGAAATAATACATGGGACAGTTCAAAGTGAAAATAGTAATGTTAACTGACGTTATAAAGGAAGAGTATACAAATTGAACAAACAAAA